AATTTTGCATTGGTTATATTATTTTTTACCAGCGTAGATCGAGCTATCGCTGTTTTAAAACCTGTTAGGTAAGTATTTCGACGGGAAAGCAACCTTAATCTTTTTATCGACGGCAGATAGAGCGCTCCTCAAATGGCGAAGCTAAGTGATTTGCTTTTTCCTTCTGAAGTTGAATATATTTCTAAATAAGGACGACTGTAATGGTTACTTGCAGATATCGAAAAATGAGGATGAAATTTTATATCCCAGCAATGATTCTACCTGCTTTACTTTATTCAATCGCTATGCTTATATTGGTTTTTATATATGGCGGAAATAGCGAGTAAGTTAAATTCTCAACGCGTAATTAATAGCCACTACTGAAATACTTTGAGAATGAATTTACTGAGTAAGGTTAAAATGATTGAACATGTGAGAACAACACTTTTTGTTGAGAAGATCAATGAACAAAATCACAATTGACCTCGTCCCGAAAATTTTTTGCTTCGTTTGCTTTTGAATGATAGGTATAAATTTACTTACCTTGTTAAGGGAAATACGAAGCGAAAGAGCGATATGATCAGAAATCTGATGTAGAATGAGCTTGAATAAAGCTTTATTAAAAGAGAAAAATGACAGAAATATCAAAGTCTCTGAGCAAATGTACGAGCAAATCCTGAAAATGTACACTAAACGCTCTATTCCTTATTTATTTCCTTACTAACCATTGGTCTTGCCATTTTGCTTGCAGTGACGAAGTAATCTGTGTTTTGGTGGCGGTATATAGTGGTCAGTTAAATTCGATCTGGGGCATTTCGTCAACTCTTATTAATTTAGCAACAATTATACTTTATGTAATACTAAGCCAAGTTGTAGTGAAGGCTAAAACAAGTGAGCTCTTTGATTAACTACCAAAAGGGATGTAAAGTAAAATATACCCTGAATAATACATGCCTTTTTTCCCTATTGTTGAACCGCGTATTTATGTCACCGCGATATCGTTCCCTCTATCCTCTTATTCAGCTGCATAAGATGACATCTGATTCATGAAAGCTAATTAATTATGAATAACCAAAGTGGTCCCATAGCATTCATTGTCCTTAATTCTTATTTCAGCAACTAGAAACTTCGAGTTGTTGCAAACATTGAAGATAATCGTGGCATTTATGGGACTGGGACATTCTGCAACAATGGTGGTTTATATGTCGGCAGTGTTCTTGGATATTTCCAAAATGGCGGCATTTTATATGACATGCCATGGTGGAATACTTATTAATATAAGCGCTTCATGCAATTGGTTATTTTATTATTGGAGAAGGTAAAAATTAACCTTATAAGACATCAAAAAAAAAAGTATTAGTTGAAATACTTTGCTTTGGAAGGGTATCCTCAATATTAGTCATAGCACTACTAATATATTGGATCTATAGCTATGAGAAAATGTTATTGCAGTACGGAATATCGAAACGAATTTAAAAAGCAACTCAGGAAATTTCCATGCTTAGAGAATATCATACAGCTAGAACCAAAACCTTCAATGAATCAGGTGACCACGGTTCACCAGTAGTACCTCACAAAAACCGCTCCTAAGAATCTTGTTTCAACGATACCCGCACAGATTGCTGATCGAAAATCAGCATTAATTGAAAATATTGGCAATGGTTATG